ATTTCTCATACTCTCATAGCAGTATGAGGACAGGGAAATCTCTTGCACTGGGGATTAGCACCTTGCTGTGGTCTCATTCTCTGTCTTTCCCATGGCAGTACAGATGGCCATACAATTTCTGTCCCTCCCTGTCAAACGCCCATGCGGCATCACTGCAGATCTCTGTAGTGACCATATTCTCAGGTGTATATGGGTGCATTTCAACAACAGATGAATACTATTTCATGTACCCAACCCAAAAAACACTTTGGGAGCGCCCTAATTCCAATCAGGACCAGGTTAATTTTTTGCAGTAGCAGGGAGGGGTGTTGCAAGGACCCTAAAGTTGACACCACCTCATGCCAGTGGTAAGAGAAAGGGACTCTCTTCCAAGGAGAAGGGGTTCCTTCCAATTGAGTTAAAGTGGTGGACAGAACAGTCAGGTATTGTTTATTGACAGGGGCTTTTCACATAAATTGCTTCTTTGCCTTATACCTTCCGATATTAATATTGTTGCTGTTATTGTTTGTTTTCTTATCTCATTGCTGTTTCCAGTAAATTGTTCTTATCTTAACCTGTGATCTTTAGATAACATCTGAGACTACTCAGCTTCAACCATTTCTACTCCTCTGCAACAGTTTCAGCAACTGTTAGATGTGAAGGTAAATCAAGAAACAAGGAGGAACACTCATTCCCATGGTTAGTCACATGCCTTACACCAGCCCATCGCACACCCCCCCCGCCCCCCCCCAGCAATGACAGCCTGGATACAGCACATGGGCAGCTGCACTGCACAAGCACCCCATCAACATGGGAAAGACCCTGTTTGGGACCACACCACCCTCAGTTAGGGGAGTGCAAACTTTATCCTTGCCCTAATCCCCAACCAAACAACCTCACACCAGAGACAGGAACAATGACTGGAGAATCTGCCAGAAAGGAGCAGGAATTGGGATATTTCTAAAAGGAAAGAGTGACAGATGGGGATGAAGAGAGTGTCTCCCACCAAGGAAAATTACCTCCAACATGAGTTAAGGCTTGGGTAGAGTATGGAGTACACAAACATATCAAGAGGGAGAATAAGAAGCCTTCGGAAAAAGGTCAATAAGTTTATTTTAAAATGCCAGTGTGTAAGGATAGGTTGGAAGCTGGTGAGCAATAGGCTGTGAAAAGCGACATCTTGTTGTACACAGGAGAAGAAATATAGTGGTGCTGAGTGAGTAGACCTAGGCTGTGGCCCACAGACATGTGTGATGCAAGGAGGTATTCTGGGACTAGAAAAAGGTAAAAGTGTGCATTGGCATAGAGAAGAATATAGAGTGAAGCAAGGAGATGTCCCAGTATCTCAGCTGTAACAGCATTATACAGCAGAGAAGTGAGACCTGTATTAGGGAATGCACTGGCCAGCAGTGGAGGCAGGCAACAAAGGCCCAAAGGATATTTGGAAGACCAGGCTTGTAAAAGCTCACAAGTCCTTCTGTAACCACTCCATCCTATGACAAGGGATGCTGTGAAATGCCCTTAATCAGAACAGAGTGGCATCATCTCCCCAATATCCCTGTATCCCACAGCCACATGACAGATGTTTCCAACAAACCTACCAAAGGGAGGAAATCTCCCTAATCCCAGTGCTGTCAAAATTTCTTCCACCTTTTTTAGTTTCTAAGCACAAAGATTTTGTGCTTTTAAGGTGCACCCACTCTGAAAGTTTTCTTTTCCAGAGCTCCTCATCAGTCTTTCTCCCTAAATGTGTGGTGTCCACATCTCACCAGAAGCTTGCCTGGCTCTGTTCTGCATGCACTTCATTGAGTTAGAGCACTTAGCTGAACCAGCTGTCTCTCCCTCTGTCATTAATAGTTCTGCAGAGAAAGAACATATTCAGCTTGCTTTCATTTTCCACGCTTGACACCTTTTCACTTTCAGAATCTTGTTCAAGCAAGGAAGATAAAAATAGAGGTAGGAGAGACTCTTTCATTCATATCTTAACAGCCATTCTTATCAACACAGCTTTTCCCAAATGCTCCAAGGAATACACCCAGAACAAGCCCAACCTGCACTATCTCCACTGTCTCCCCAAAAAATTCTTGCTCTGTGATCTCACTGGTGATTGTTTCCAAGAGTTATTGTAAAGATTTCTTTGCCCAGCCTCTCCCACTGCTACTACTTGTGTTACCCTGTGAATCTCACCCTACCCACCTCAACTTCTTGCATGTAACACTCCAGAGAATTATCACCTCCCACCATCCTTCATCCAAACCACAGTGGCTGGCTGAGATTAAAAAGCCAGCGTTTGCTCACAACTGATTATTTTTATCCCAATGATCCCAATGTGATAGGTATACAAACTGGCCCTGGACTTAAAACAGGGTTGGACAGGACAACCCACTAGTCAGCATATATGACGCTTCTGCTTCTGTGCCAAATCAACACATGCCAGTTGCCTTTACATCAGAGCTACATGTTGCAGCTCCCAGTCCCCAGCCATGATGCTGGCCTAAAATGGGAGACCTCCCCCATCAGCAGGGTATCAAGTAGGTTTGTGTGGGGACAACAGTCATGGTGAACACCATAAATCTACCTCACAAATGCTCTGTCTTTGCTCAAACATCTGTCCCATTGGTATGGTCTCCATTTACGCCAGTTTTCCCACAAAACATTTGTCAAACGTACAAGCCCGTGATAAGATTCATAGGAGTAGGTCGCATCAGAAAGCAGACTATTTCTAATTGATTGAAAATATAATGCTTCTGTACATGAAATTGTCTTTTTTTGATCTTCCTGCCCTTTTGCAAGTCTTGCCTAATTTGCTAGCTTGTCACATCCCTCCCTAGGTATGTCTGTATTTCCAGTTGCTCTTTGTCCCATTTGTTCTGCAGTGATCCAAGCTGTATGTAATTACTTCTTGCCTACACTTAAGATTCATTTGAAGAGCTCAGCTCTTGGGCCTGACTGGAGAACTGGAAGTCTTACCACAGAATTCGACAGCAGCAGGACTAGGCCCAGGCACTCTGAGAAGGTTCCCTCATTGCCATTTTTTCTTCTATTTGAATTCATCTGCAAGTTCTCAGGTGTAATGCTGGCCCCAGGAGGGAAAATTTCAGGATCCCTCTCTGCACTCTTCTCTGCCCTGATACTCCATTTTGCTGCTCTGCCACCTCTATTTCAGATAAGTATATCATATTTAAAATATACTGAGGATCTAGCTATACTGGCATTAAATTTGTTACTGAAGTAACCCTATTAAACCCTCTAGGCTCCAGCAATGACAGCTTTGGTGCACTGGATTCTCAAATCATTTCTGGTTTTAAATATCTTGATTTGGTACCTTGTAATTATTAATATGGGCATTTACATCAGCTTTTAATACTGCCCAATTTTACAAGGTCCTTTATTTTTATACATGTTATTTTCTTCATTTATCTCTTTTATCATTGCTCTCTTGTTACCATTTCCTCTCCATTACTTTCTTAAAATGTCTACCTTTTTTACCCTCCCTCCCCTGTAGCTTTAAAATTAAATATTGCCCAGCACTGCCCATATGAAAGAAGTGAATGCTATGAGGTAAGGTTGCTGCAGAGACTGTATTTGAGCTGCTTCATTGGGAATCAATGAGGCACGGAGCATTCCTCTAGCTCCCAAGAGCACAAAGAGACCAGGGATTATCAGTGGCAGCTGAATACACACTTGAGTGAAAATGTCCCACCTGCAAGCACCACCTTCAGCCTTTAAGAGACACCACACAAACTGTGCCAGAGGTGCCTATTTGATTTTGGGGTGGCTTTCCACAGCTCCTGTGGAAGGGAGATTGCCACATGGAAGCCCATGGAGGCAGAGGCCTGCAGGGAGCAGCCAGCCTGCTCTGCTCCATCTATCCACTGAGCTATGTAACACAGCTGGTACCAGCCTTGATACAAGCATGGAATGCTGATAGCAGCAGCATGTTGCAGACTGGGGGCTGACATTAACCCTGCCATTGAACTGTAGAGAAATATTAATGGTCATTCCTGGCTAAACAATATGTAGACCCTTAAACTACACAGACTCGCCCCATTCAAATCTGCCCATAATATACCTTCTAGGTGCAAATACTTCACTTACCTCACATTTTCCCCACACCTCCTCACCATACAGTCAGACAGGCCAGAACAACCAAAACAGTCCCAAAAACATCTATATATGAGAAACAATAGATGTACATACTGCTTCCCTTCTTCAACCTTCTGCCTTCCTCCCCCTCACGCACACTTTCCCTAGCATCACCTTTGTGCACTGTTTCCTCCTGCCTCCATCCTTACCATGTCAGTTGTGAACCTTGAAATGCCTCTCCTCCGCCTGGGCGACAGTGTGAGGGGACATCTTGTAAAGAGCAAGATGCAAAATAGCAGAACACCTTGTGTAATTTACTGTGGTTACTTCCCTTATATCTAATAACACAGTCACTTACCTACTGATCTAGGAACTGTGGGCTGCTGAGGGTTAATGATGGCACTGACTCTTGAGCTACTGTGTTACCTGACTGCAGCACCAAAAGTGATTTATGCCATTATTTGCTTTGGGGGTTAATTAGGGGCTCGAGAAAGTAAAGGCCTGTCAGTGCTAGCTGGAATTGGTCTAGTGCAGCCAGGGGAGAGCAGTCATCCCTCACAGAGCTCTGCCAATACATCTTTGTCCTGAACATCAATACCTCCAGCTCCCACTCCTCAGTGTGGCAGACAGCCCTCCATCCTGACCTCCAGCAACCCTGTTCATCTTGGCATACAGAGCATACTGCTCTGCTGAGTCCTGCCATTTCCATCTGGTACCTTTCACAACCTTACTCCTCTGTTATTTTCTCCTCACCAAAGCCTGCCAATAATGCCCATTGATAGACGGGGAAAACTTGCATGGCCTTCACCCAGAAGCAAGGAAGAGGTACCTCCCCTCAGTATCTCTTATAGCTGAGAAACAGCAGTTTTCTTTCCTCTAGCTGTCCAGGGCTTGTTGAGGCCTGAGAAGCCAACACAGGCTATGGCTGCTCCTACCTCTTTGCCCAGATCCTCACGGATAACTTGCTCAATCTCCTGCCTGGTGCTCTGCGGGGCCTGGCTATGCAGCACCTTGAGGGTGCGGGTGTACTCCTCAGGCAGGAGGTAGTCCAGCGCTCCCAGGTGCTGTCCCACCTTGATGTAGGTGCCTCGGTTGGAGCAGCACAACTCCCGGAGGCGCTCAGCAGAGCGCAGGTGCACCTGCGAAGAGACCAGAACACCAATCAAGCCCTTTTGCTGTCTGTTACATGCATATGTGCACATACACATCTTTTTTGTCCAGAATTTAAGCGGAACCAAAGATTTCCTTTCTTGATTCTGGGCATCATCATCTAACATGTCAGTTCATTATTAGGAGTCTGGCTGGATTTAAAGGGTCTGAACCAGACCAGGACAAGATGCTCCTACACTTGTTTGTATAGGCACCACAATCAGTAACACCACATTAGTTTTTGGCCCATCCTTGCACAGAATAAAATGTCTGGACATAGGGCAGCATTGGTTTGTCACTGTGATTCTGCACTATGGATGCACAGTTTGGAAACTCCTTGTCAAAAGACAAAAATCATGACCACAAACATTATGTTAGACTTTTAGTATGAGTGCAGTGAATTAAAATTAGAAGAAAATCACAGATACCATCCCAGAGACTTCAGAAGAAGAGTCTGTTAAAATCAAAATTAAAGATCTCTCCTTGGCAGGGAGGAGGACAGTATATGGGCAGTCTTTCATCTTCCTCACCTCGCTTTTAGACACATATCCCTCCAGTCCAGTCAGGTCTTGGGTCTTACTGCTTGCATTGCCAACAAAGTCTGCAATAACAGTCATTTGAGCAACTAAGTGTTAGAAGACTTGCCAGCTGTGCTCACACTGGTCAAAATGCAGTACCAAATGACAAAACCCATTTCCAACCACTTGCCTGGTCTCTATTTCAGCTCTTTCAGTTCATTTTGCTCCTCAAGAATATACCAGCCACCACATCCCTCAGTGACAATGATTTATTCTTCCTTTATTAATGTCACTAGAAAAGCCTCCTGTCAAGGACATAGCTATATTGAATAATATTTAATGAACTTCATATAAGTTTACCCTGATACATTAATAAAACCTATGCAGATCAATAACAAAAAATAACTGTGCACCCATCTCCCGTTAACGCCTGACACCAATCTGCATGAAGTCTCCTCATTCCTCTGGCTTCTGTGTCAGACATTACTGAAGGTCAAATCCTGTGTCTATAGCCCTCATCTGCACAGGATCCTGTGGTAATGGATTCCAGCAAATGCCTTGAAATACATGACAAAAAGGAACAATTCCACAAACATTCATGAACACTACATACACCCACACCATTCAGTAGTTATCTTTCTCTCTGTGCAAAGCAGAGCCATGTCACATCATGGGACAGGCTGAGTGTCTCACATTTGGAAATGTGTCAGGGACAGACTGAGTGCTGAGCTGCAAGTGCATGAAACACAGGCCCAGGGGAGTGTGAGGAGAAAGGCTAATATGAAAGTCTTGCCCTCAGTGTGAGACTTGACAGTATGATGCACACGTGCTCACATACACGTACACACGTATTTTCCTAAGTGGGCACATATGGGCAAGTGCAACTCATGCTAGGTGGGTGAGCTTCCCCAGCATACTGCCAGCTCAAAACCACTCACACATGTATAGGCTGCAAATAACACCTATGAGTATGCCTCAAGTCTCCCAAATCATCCTCCTGCATTTTACACAACAGCTTTGAAACTCATGCTGTAAAAAGCCTCTGCTCTGGCTCTTTCCCTGTTCCCCTTCTCTGTGTGCATCAAGGACAAAAGCAGGCCAAAAGGGAACAAGGAAAGGAAGCTGTAACAGCAGATGAGAGAGCAAGAAAACCAGGGTGGGAATAATGGGATAAAAGAGAAAGGGAGAGAGGGAGCCAGTGCATCTGGGTTGTTTGTCACAGCACTGAGAGTACAGCCCACCACAGAGAAACAGCTTTTTTGCAGCTCCAATAGTCACCCTCTACCCACTGCCTCCAGCTGTGGAGGAGAACCCCTGCCAGCAGTGAAGGAGAGTGATGGCCAGCCACACACTTCAAGATGTTGGGCAGCCATAGCCAAAGGCACTGGCAGAAAACAGAGGCAAGGCTCTTTACAAATATGTTCCAAGAAACCCAGTACTGAGCTCAGGCCAGCACAGGGTCCTGCGATCTCCCACACACAACAGGAGCCCATCAAATGACTCCAGGCTGCAGCATGACTCAGGGCAGAGCAGCAGCAACCTGGGGCTGTAGTGCAGTGCTGGGTGTCAGGACAAGCAGCCCACTTCAGGGTAGGTGAGGTGCTGGCTCCAGTGCATTACCCACACCACATGGATTTCCAAGGGAGTTGGAAAAAACAGGTTGGAAAACTCACATAGCTAAAAATGCAACTGCTTGTAGACATGCTTGTATACAGGGTGTATCTTCACATCCGCGTCACTGCTGGGAAGGAGGTGGTAATAGCCCCTCTTTAGCACAAGGTGAGAGGAAATGCTTGTCCTCATAAATTTATCCACACTGTTGAGAAGCTGGTTGGCCTCATGAATGCAGTAGTCCTGGACAAGACGATCCTTACAGAGGGCTCCAGGAACAAAACAGAACAAAATACCCTGCAAAGCATCTTCCACAATGCTCTCACAACTGGCTTGGCTTAAACTCCTAAGACATAGATGCCCTGGCTGGCTGGACCAGGGAATTCCAGCTACTGCACTTCTAGAGAGAAAAGGTGACCAAGCAGCTTGTCTCAGAAGACGTAAATCTGTATCTCTACATCTTACAAAACTCCAGTCTGCATTAGAGGCAGAAGTACTCTGAGTATGAAGAAGGACTGTGAATGCAACTTCCAAGGACTCTATTCTTATCAACTATTTCTTTTAGCAGAAAACTTTCTTAATTATTATCTATCATTTTCTTGGATCTTCCCAAGATAGGTCACAGTCCAGATGCAGCACTTGTTCCTCTGACAGACTACATTCCCCTAATCATAGACAAAGTTAGACTCTCACATCCCTACTACAGTGTCCAGTTGTAGTGGTCCACGTATCTGTTCCACCTTGAAGAAAATGCAAGGTAAATGGAAATCCCCAGAATGGCTCAGAACCTTTCTTCAAGATACTGCTCTTTGTTGCCCAAGAAATACTTTGAAGACTGTTTTTATCAGAGGAAAGACCTGGAAACAACACCTAGTCTTACACAGATATACTTGTATGCATTGCCCCTAGGAGCACACTACAAAGAAAGGAAGCATTTCACGATTTCACATAGCAAGGAATAGCAAGAACAAGCTTCCGTCAGAAAGCCCTTCAGATCACAAATGATGTCTGTGTACACGGTTCTTTCCTCAGTCCAAATGAGCATCTCTTTCTGTCTTAAATCCCATCTCCAAATTTCAGCAGAATAAATTCTACATTGGCCCACATGGCTATCAGACTCCTGCTTTACTTAAACCCCAGTTAGACTAGGATTAACCCTGATTATTAAAACTGTGAAAATAACAACTCTTAGGTGTGGAGAAAAGGCATCTCTGGGATGAAGTACACGCTCAGCAAGCAGAGCTGCAGAGGAATATATTTTAATCTATGCTTGTTGTACAAGTAGACCTGGCTTTTAAAGTAATGTGGTTGCTTTTGAAGAAGCCTTTACTCACACAGATTACTAGCAACGAACTGCTCATCAGAATACCAGATGTGCAGATATCATGAACTGGCAGGTGCTAATCTGGTCTTAAAAATAAAGGAATTAATTTAGAAGAAAATAAATACTCAGACTAAAATCTACCAGTGAGAACTTCACACCTGGTGGTGAAAGTGCTCAGAAAGGCCACTGAAGACAGTAAAGTAAGTGGTGGAAGCAACTCCTCATATGAAATCCCCAGAAAAGACATCCCAACTGTGCAGGGCATACTCTTAGCTGGCAAAATGTGAAATGAGGATTAGGAATGCAGAGAGAATAGCCTGCCCATCACTGTTTACAATGGAGATACACTCTCCACAACAGTATTTCAAGAAAGGTGTCCCTAGAAAACCATTGAAAACTTCAATCACATAAAAATTAAAGATTAATTTAAAAAGTAGCTGAGATGCTAATAGCTAGAATAAAAGGAAATCTCAGATTAAAACTGTTAACTTGCAGAAGACTAAAAGGGAATAAGTGTTGCCCTGTTTTTAAGAAAAATCCAGACTAATCTGAGAAACTATAGTCCTGCAAGCTTTAATTCTGTATCAACTAAATTACTTGAGACAATAATTACAGATAGTATTAAAAGTCATTTAACTAAATGTGATATGACTGATAAAAAGCCAACAGGGATTCTGAGGGGGAAAAAATAATTCTTCACCAGTCCACCAAAATACTGTGAGCTTGTTCATACAATAGCCAATAGAAAATAAGTATTAGAAAAGAGGTATTTACTGGGAGTTTCATTAAATATCCTCACAAAGAATGAAAGGCAAACTCAGTAATTACTGGAGATACAAGAACATCACTTGCTCATTTTATCCCACTTCCAAGTCAGAAACCCAGCACTACAGACAGCAACAATGGAAGACACTCCAATTAGGACAAGACTGCAACATTTAGTGCTGTTTTCGCCACAGCTTCATTTCAACCTGCTCTGAGCATTTTTAAACCAGATGATCCTGCAGAAGCCTCGTCTATCTTAGGAGCTGCATTCATTACTTCATGGGAGGATGAACTAGCACTGGAAACAGAGAAACACGATGAAACAGGGAAGAGGTCCCGGTAGTGCAAAGAAGGCAGAAGGAGCTCCCTACAGTAAAAGGATTGGCCTGCATTACTGTCAAAAACAAACAGCAAAGTGTCCCACTATTCCTGTTCTTACACCAAAGCTTAATTTTGCTGCCAGTGATGTGGCAAAGAGAGCATAATGCATTGACAAAAATTTCATGAGATATAAGATATATTATTTACCAGTGTGGAAAAATTAGCCCTGCCAAGTCCCTACCAAAGACAGGTGAAAAATCAATACACCAAGAGATCTCACCCTCAACAAGGATGGCTGCAAGGTTACATATATTGGGAGGTGCAGTCTGTCCTCCCCACACACGCTGCTGAACTTTCAATTAACTGCAACCATCCAGCACTTGGATCACATTCTTGTGGATGGCTCAGCCTGTTCAATGCATAGTGAGTCAGGAAAATAAAAAAAAATTTT